CACTAATCATGTGACTTCGCTGACGAAACACTATAAACATACCACCAATGGTGTTTATAGGATTTTTAAAATTTCGGTGGGGTAGAAGGGGTATCAGAAGAGTATGTGGGTAAGAAGAGGGCTAAGTGTTATTAGGTACAAAGAAATGGGGTTTTTCCTTTAAGTGTCTATTCATTGTTTTTAATTATCAAAATAGTGAAAATTACCTTAAGCTCCTTGCATGGTGTCGCGGTGATCCGATGCTCTTTCAAGCTACCATTAAACCCACTTCGTAGGTTATCTGATTGGAGATATTTCTTATGGTTCTAAATACATAGTTTGACAACAAAATGAGCTTATTTGAATTTCACGGAACTACTCAAAAGTTATACACTATAATGCCCCCACAGTTGAAAGGGCGAGCATGTTCGGTGACGGGGTTTCGAACCCGCTACCAATTGCTTGCGAGTCGGGCGCCTTAACCACCAGACTTGGCTGAAAAAAAAACAAAAACTTTCACGTTAGTGGGAGTGTCAATGTAGGAAGAATTTAAAAATATTAAAGTACTGCATCCTGATATTTCATTTGGGGATGTAGGATGAATTTAGAAAAAAATCTGAAAACATTAAATCCTGATATCTCAGATGACATGGAGGGAGGAAGGGAGGTATTTACAGACGAGTGGTTAAAGTTCTCAAATTTTGGTCTCCTCAAATACGCGTGCACATTTACTGCTGAACCACGAAACTACTATCAAAATTCCGATTGTTCTTATAGTTGTAAAACTAATTATGAAATTAGTGTTATAAAAACATACGTTGCAGTTTCATATATTTACTTTTTTTGTAGTTTAAGCACGTGTATGAAAAAAGGAAAGCTTGACAACTAGTATTAGTCTACAGCATATAACATCGGATCGATATATTAACACAGTCCAAGTCACCAACCCAAATATGTGTGTGGTTTACAAATAGAAGGAACATGACTTTCTGCAACTCTAATAACAACACAAGATTTACAACAAGATACCAATATGATTGGAAAAATTACAAGAAACCCAAAGATATGTGCTCATCTGCTCTATCTATGGGGTATAGTCAAACTACTCAAGATCTCGTAAAAGGTGAGGATGCTTCCTATTGAAGATGAGTTGATCTACATTTGACGATGATTTATGAATTATTGTTTAACTGATATTATGTACTAATAGTACTAAGCAATACAAACGTTAGGGTTACTGATATTGGTGTTACAATATTAGGCATTCACTGTTAGTGTTACTGTAAATACTGTTAGGCAAAATTTTGTCAAAAATAATTTTGACTTATGTTTTCTCGAATCCATAGTAGTTCTGGCTACAATGTATTATGTAGACCTGTTTAGTTCTAAATCCTTCGCCAGATACCAGGCTAGGTACTTTTCATTTAGATTTTGTTTTTACGATTTGACATAATGGAAAGTGTGAAAAAAATAATGTACTTAATTCGATATTTGGGCTACCTGGAAGTTGGTAAATTCCGTGTCCGAAATTTGGAATAATAAGATTAAAATGATACGTGAAATCAATGATTAACTAAAGTAAGTGTTATGAGGTTTTGTATTGTAACCTAAATTAATCTAGATATGTGAATAATGTTATGACATTTCATCAAATTCATTACATGATGTTAATTATTATTCAGTGGACCAACTGTTTAATGATTGTATATATATATGGTAAGTATTGTCTAACACTAACATGGTTTATTAAGTTACAGAAATAAGCCAATGTACAACTTACATAAAAGTGATCCAAAATTACTATAACATATTATTAAATAACATTAATAATGTAATTATAGATTATGAAGTAAAAGGGAAAGATCTGAAAAAATAATACAAAACTGAGTGGATGCAATGTAAGAAGATTATGAAATCAAGTAACATAAGAATCATTTAATAACAATACCAGATAAAGAATTAAACCTAATTAGAAATTAAAATGATAAAATAATGAATTTTAGCAGAGTGTTCTTGGTATTAAGAGAATTGTGGTTATTGGGTGCAGGCTGTATGTCTTGACATTTTCATTGAATTTATTAACCTTTTGAGCTTGTTCGTTTTTTTTTTTGTATATATATTTTCATGTATGTCATTTTTCTCATCCAACAGATCTGATGAGTTTTTGTATTGAGCAACATGTTAACCAGTAAGATACTAGATTAGTTAAGAGTAAATTATTTAAAAACTTTTCCAGTATGTTTCTGATGGTTCATCACACCTGCTACCTTAATATTTGAAAATGCTATAACAGTTTGGATAGTGTATTAAAATTCATTTTCTGTGTTTGGTAAACATTCATGTACTAGTATTTAAATGAAACTGATCAAAATGATTTTTTTTGTATAAATTTTATGGTATAATTTCTTTTTGTGTACTAGCTTTGATGGATGAAGCTAAGCTTTCAGTGCGTTTACAAGAAGGAGTAACAAAGTGCATGAAAGGTAAGATAAATGCATCTAATTTTTTGGAGTATTTTTAATAGCATGCATAAATATTATGGCTGAATGATAAGGTATTTGGACTATAATGTATTAGTAAAGAAGGTAAAGTTCACAACTTAATAATCATTATTCACTGTAGTTGTATATATCAGTGAAGGGTGTTAATAATATCAGTCTTGCATATTTACAGTTGTTTTCAATATCTTGACTTGCCTATTTTTCACAGAAGGCTCAACCTTGACATCGAGTGTAAATACACTAAATATCAGCATACTCACTTACCTGGTAAATCGTTTTTGTAAAGAACACACACAAAAATTTCCTGAATGGGAACTCTTGAATTTACTTTCCATTACAATTTTTAAATAATTTCAAAAACCTCTTTCAATTTTTCGCTATTTTTAGAACTATAAATACATACAGATTCTAACCTATTGACACATACACTTGTTAGCTGGTCATTCCACAGTTTTGATTGTATATGAATTGATTACATTTCATCTGCTTTATTAAATATAAACATTTTATCAAACAATATCACCATAAAAAAAAAATCTCAAGCATGTTATAACTCCACTTGATTTCTTTGATGAATTTATGTCTGCAGCACCATCAAATACATTAATATAAAAGTGTTGACTTATACACCATCAAATACAGTAATATAAAAGTGTTATGGTACACCATCAAATACAGTAATATAAAAGTGTTATGGTACACCATCAAATACAGTAATATAAAAGTACACCATCAAATACATTAATATAAAAGTGTTGACTTATACACCATAACTCTTTTATATTACTGTATTTGATGGTGTATAAGTCAACACTTTTATATTAATGTATTTGATGGTGTATAAGTCAACACTTTTATATTAATGTATTTGATGGTGTACCATAACTCTTTTATA